CCCCACGGGGTCCGTAAAGCGTGCAGGGAAGGTCATACAACATCTCGACGACAACCCAAAAGCCAACCGCAATATTCTCTTCTTATCACTAAAACCTGGGATGGGGGGAGCATACCATTTTGCTCTTCGCCGGCAATCAAATTGGTGCAATCGGCTAAAGTAGGTGAGGGGGAGGGAGGGAAACAGATACAGTCTGCGGTCCCAGTGCTGTCACAAGGTCTGATGTGAACCATGCCCAATAAAGGACTGAGCAAAGGAACAGACTGCTCACCTTTCTTCCTGTTCACGCTGCTGGCGCACAAAGGGGTTCGAGCGGAAGAGGTTCTGACGATCGGCCCTTTGTCGATCAAGACGAGAAGAACTTGAACTTCGACAACGTTTCGGTGGAATACCGCCAGCGCAGGGCGCGTAGAGATTGTAGATATTAAGGCCAACATCAATGATGTGCGAAGCCTCGTAGACCTGCGGACACGAGTGAATGAACGCGAATATATCAATTAATTCGATTAAAAGCAAAAAAGAAGGGAGAGCCAAGAACACCGAATCGCAGTTTCTTCTGACTCCCTTACTGAAACTGGCCTTGCCATTTATCTCGACAGATAAAGGCAAATTAACACGACTTACTATTTTAAAATCAGTACGTTGCATTTCGGGGATTAAAAAAGGATAGCGAGGTGCCCTTGTCCTCCGTTACACGAAATGTGTAGCTAGTCATTCTGATGCCTCTGAACATACTGGACTAAAGGTATTTCCGACGTGACTGAAAGCTCCCAACTATCTCCCAGCATGATTACTGCTCATGGCCTGATTTAAATTTCGTTGCTTTACCATAACGTACATATTTCACTGTGCTGGCCTGAGGATGCATAATCCAAAACGAACATTCGTCGACCTTGACTTCGTAAAAGCATCACAACCCACGGACCGGTAAAATGGTTGTTTAAATTCAACCAGTCAGTTAGTCTCTGCTCCGAGTATTGCTGGTGAATTCCACGCAACGTCTTAGATAGTCGCAAAGTGTAACGTATCCTCAGAATTGATAATGTAAAAGTTGGGTTTTTAATATTCAAACACACGCCAGTGGTCTAGGTTGCAACCGTCGACAGAAGGGTCAGATGAACAATACAGGCGAATAAAAAGATATAAGATAAACACTTACATCGGTCTTACATTGCGAGTTCTTGCTTCTAGTGAAAAGGCACTGCCCATTGAATTGTTTATCGCAGCAAGCATAGAGCAGAGAATTCCACAACCTAAAAGGTACATATGGAGGTCATATCCAACTGACAACATCTGTAAGCTGAGAGGAGGGATCACAGAAAAGGGAAGTGTA